CGCCATCTTGGATTTTTAAACAAGCCGTTTGTAGACGTACCGAAACATCTTTAAAAGTCATGAAAATGCAGATTACTATTCATATTTACAATGCCTATATGGATCTAATTGGATATCTTGGAAATTATTTTAAGTTTAATTTTTAGAATATTTTCTATTTTTTCAAAAACATTAAAAATATTCTAAAAATTAAACTTAATATAATTTCCAAGATATCCAATTAGATCCATATAGGTATTGCAAATATCAAAAGGAATATGGATTTTCAGGACTTTTGAAGTAATTTCAATACGATTACAAACTTTTTTTAAAAAAATCCAAGATGGCGGCCTTGTGGTCACTTGACCTGGTTTCCATGGTAACAGATATGCGGTAATTGCTTGCCTTGAAGAATTACTACTACGAGCCAAATTTGGGAAAGATTCATTGTAAACTGTCAAAGATATGAATAAATAACTGATTTTCCATCACTTCCTCAAAAGAGCCATGCCTTAATGGTGCTGAGTAAAGCTCCAAATATGAAATAAAAATAGGGGTCATCGTCTTCATTTTGAGCCACGACTCCGCGAAAAATATGCCCTATTTCGAAGAAAACAGCGCGCGTTTTATTACTGCATACCATTATCATATGCCTGGTGATCTGTTTCCATATGGGGTCTAGGACTCCTTTACGGATTATCCATATGGCTCCTTCTTCTCTCTATGTTCTCTTTTATTGCCATTAAATTGATTAAATAAATGAATAAATAAATAAAAAAGGATGAAAACAGGATTTTTTATGAAACCTTTTTTTTTTCATGCGCAACAAGAAATAAGGGCTCTGGGAGCGAACTTGACTGGCTAGCCATCAAAACAAAAGGTACTGCACACGAAGAGTGTTTATATTACTCGTACTGTTGTTTCCCGACAATACGAGTGCTTTCTCGTTTGTTTTTTCTTTATTTTTTATGGCGTACGATTTTCATGGGGCTAGTTATATATATATTTAATTATCATAATAAGAACTCGTTTTCACAACACTTTCCGGTGATACTCCTATCTAAAATCAATACCTGATCAGAAGAAGGCGATACAAATAGAACTATAAACACTGGCTTTAAAAAGATTAATTATCAGTATGCTTTTTATGGAACATTACTCAAAGTAGCACCACATAGTTTTGCAAACAGACAAATCTTTCAAACGTTCACTTGAATTTGAATATACATCCAATTTTTAGCTGTTTCCAAACAACCCAGTGACACAATTCGATCGAGAGAGCATAACTGTCGCTTCTTATCCTATTTCTCGCCTAAGGGCATATATATTCAAGGATGATAAACACACTCATCACTCTTAATGAAATTTGAAAAAAAGACAGGGGAAGCAGTGAACTCGCCTTCTGTCAACAGATGGTCAGTAGGCTACTAGAGTTCGGCTTCTCTGGATTTTCTCATTCTTCTGAAAAATAACTCCAATGTAAATGAACCTAATAAAACTAATGACCTATTCAGTCTTCAATGCAGATCAACTATGAAGTCGAATAACTATCTAACAGAAGTACTTACAACCTTGCTGATAATTGATTCGAGGAACCTTGTTTCTTGTTTGATTCCTGACATGCACGTACATACAAATATGGAAGTTGTTGTTTTCTTGGGTTGCAATATCCAGCAGAGCTATATCTGATTTGTGGAAAAAGATAGTTCCGGCTGTACTTCTGTCTCTTAATATTGAATGAATTGAGATCGATGGTGGGATATCATTGGGTAGCTCATATACACCCAAGGCAATCTTCCTGATATATACACCGAATTCCCCAGTTAAGAATCTCTATAATAGATAATGTATTCAAGTATTGAAAACACTTAGAAAATACGTACTAAGTAGTGAATCACTTTTGGCTGATGAAGGTGATTAAAGTCACCCCAGCTAAGATGGAACAAAATAGCACCGATTCTCCTGCACAGTATACTCTTTCCGAAGTGCTTAAAAACCCGAAAACTGCTTTGATTACCACATTTTTAGTACTTCTGATTTTGTGTACTCTGGTTGGGAATTTTCTTGTTATCTGGAATATTTTTACGACTCGACGTTTGAGGTTTTCAGCGTTCTTCTTCGTGGCGAGTTTGGCTGTGGCAGATTTTCTAGTTGGACTTGTTGTTCTTCCAATCTCGCTCGCTTATCACCTCACTTTTGAAATGACAGGTAAGTTTGAATTCTGCTCTCTGTGTGTTGTACAGAGTTTAACATGAATGATAACAACAAAAACGGTGTTATCAGCGATACATGTCTTAGAACTGATGCTTACAGTAGATAGAACCTGAAAGAAGTCAGTACCGAGTAGTTACAATTAAAAGAATTTATCATTATTATATTTTTATTAGCAGGAAAAAAATACTCATTTTGAAAAAAGGCGTTAAGGAGGCTCGAAACGCATTTTCTTAAGGGTTCGCGCGCTCTAGGTCCGATGACATACAACTTCAAAAAGAATATTTTGTCTTCAAAATTTTTAATATTCAATATTAACTGAACGAATCAAAAACTCTGCCGTGAAATTTGGTTTAAATTTTTCGAAAACTTCAGGAAAAATTAAAATTCTGTAAGAGGGAACTATTCCAAACAAATTTGATTGATTTTTACGAATTTCCTCTTACAGAATATTTTCTTTTTTCGTCAAAAAGAAGATTACGATATAAAGTAAAAATACTCCGGTTTTTAAGAAAAATTCACCGTTTGGTTCCTTAGTTAGGATTTTTTAAATAAACATCTTTGAAGGATAACAAGGGCTCCATGTTGTCATAGTAACGTCTTACGTCAATTTTTCATGTTCATTGTGATCATTTGATTTATGGCTCTTCATGTTCCTGTTCCACTTACTTGCGATCATATTAGCCATAATATTTTTTTTCTAGTTCATAATTGTAAGTGTGTCTTTGATATTTCAATCATTAGTAGCGTTTTTCTTTTCTTTTTTAATTAATATTTGATCCAGTTTTGAACCAGAGTATGATGATTTCATCAGTTGAATTTTATGATATTTTAATGTAGCCTTATTGTCTGTCAGCCCTGTCTTTTATGTGTCTATTTTAAACTCGGAATTTATTAAGGGATTATTTTTAGATTTTGAAATTATTAGTTGATAAATGGAATAAAGATTATAATTAGATACTGTATTTATAATTGTGAGTGTATGTGGTGAAGGCATAAAACACTGTCCAGCCTCCTTTTTCATTAAAACAATATCAAAAAAAGGTTTCAGTTTAAGTGCCATTAAGACCTGAATGAAGGATTCTTTTAATTTCTAGTGTTATCTGTGTTTAGCGAATAACATATAAATCATAATTTATCATGAGAAAAATACACACAATTTTTATCTAAGAAAAGACACTGAACTAAATGGGGGGAAAAAACAAAGGAAAAAAAAATACAATGAACTTTAAAAAAAACAAAACAAAGAAAGCAGAAATAAAAAGACAACACTGAATTAAAAAAAAGAAAAACAACGACACTGAACTAAAAAAAAACAACAAGAAAACTGAACTAAAAAAGCAAAGAAAAAAGAAGCAAAACAAAACACTGAACTTAAAAAGGAAAAAAAACCAAAACAACTAAAAAACAACGCAACACAACTTAAAAAAGGAGGGAAAAAAAGGTACTAATTTATTAAGATATATGACAGACTTTCTTTCTGACGAATATTTCAACAACGAAATATTTTGCAAGTAGCTGAGTATCCAAGGTCACAACAGATTGGTATATCTTCTTTTTTTAGTACGGGTGGACCTGCTATTGAGTTGCCTCTTACCGGCAATGCTGCCCAGGTTTGAGTCGCGCCGGTCTCGATGAGTTGTTTGTTGGCTCTCCTGTGCTTCGAGGGTTTTTATCGGAGTTCTCTGGTTGTCCCTCCTTCCTCAACAGAACTACTAAATTTTAATATCAAACATTGAGTGTCGTATTTCCCTTTGTCTGTTGTCTGCGAGGCAGACCCAAGAGTTAGCATCGTTCCCGTATCCTTCCTCAATCTTCCAAAAAGCTATATATTTTTTTGCTTGTCTTTTTTTTTTTTTTTTTTTTTTTTTTTTTTTTTTTTTTTTTTTTTTTTTTTTTTTTTTTTTTTTTTTTTTTTTTTTTTTTTTTAATTTTTCATAAAACGACGGCCTTTTTGTTTGTCCGCTTTTTCGCACAATCCAAATATGGAATTGATCATACCATATATGGAGTGAGCTTTCTCTACTCCAACTTCGACACTAACATATAGAGTAAAGCTTGACATGAGTCGATCTTTGTGGTTTCACTTAGTTGGACCCAATAGCTTTGTTGTGATTGTCCCACACAGTGATACAGCAGCTAAAGCTTAATCATTTTTTCCTAAGAAATCCTATCAGGCAAGATCAACGTTTGGTGACAGAAAAAATAATATTTATAAGGTTAGCTTATACAAGACCCAATCATTACGAGCCGGGACGCAAATGCATTAACGTTTCTCTTCATACTTTCCTTCCTTTCCAGGAAGATGGATTTTTGGTTCCTGGACTTGCAAAGCATGGCTTCTGTCCAACTTTTGGTTCTGCTCTGCATCAATTCTCAATCTCTGCTTGGTCAGCTGGGATCGTTACGTAGCAGTGACGTCACCTCTCTATTACAAGGTTCGTATAAGCGATACCAGAGTCAAGACACTGATTGGAATGATCTGGTTCCTTAGCTTTTGTCTGGCAATTGTTTTGTCTACTGGCATTCATCTTAACTCGGCATCCAGTACTAAGAACTGCACTGTTCAGAGCCTGAATAAGATTTTCACCGCAATAGGGGTAGTTTTTGTCTTCTTCCTTCCTGCAATCTTTCTTGGTTTCGTCAATACAAGAGTCTGGCTTATAACGCGAACACATCAGAAAAGAATCCAAGTGAGCTTACACCTGAACTCTTTTAGTAATGTTAGTGCGAATTCTGAACAAATAAATCTCGATGAAACAACGACTGCACGCTCCTCATCAAGACCACGTGAATCTTCCACGAGGACACTAACAAGAACGATCAAACAAGAGATCAAGACATTCAAAACCTTTCTTATCGTTATCGGGGTGTTTGTGGTCTGTTGGTGCCCGTTCTATACGTCCATGCTTGTTGATATTTTCAAGCCACTTCAAGGCTTTGTTTTGTTCTTAATGATTATTCTAAGCTATTGCAATAGCGCTTTGAACGTTTTTATATATGGGATATTTAGCAGAGAGTTCAGAAGTGCTTTGATATCGACTGTCAAATGTATATAGATATATGTATATATCAGACTAAAAATATTAATTTGAAATATATATAGCACGCGCTTATTGGCTGGGTAAAATATTTGAGATACAACGCGCGGGCGCTGATTGGCTACTATTTTTTAAAATTATGACTAATTATCATGTTGTTTATATCAAAGGACAGAGACACGCTTGCGCCAAAGCATGCAAAAATATTCAATAAAAGCAATATAAAACAACTGCTTATGATATATGTTCTCTCTGCTTATGCTTCTCTCGTGCTCACAACATATCACAGTAAAGAGAAATGCGCTCGCGCGTGTTTTATTGTTTTTGCTGCGAGAGAAGCGAAAAGCAACACTAATTTTGACGGGTACCCTGCTCATACACGAACGAGAGGTACTGGACACGTGTAGAAAAAATCTCGATGCGTTTGCGATAATGGATTTTTACGTCATCGGTTCAGAGACGTGCGCACCCAACACACTTGGGCAGCGGTCTGTTTTATTACATTATGCACAGATGAACACTGCGCTGCCTCATGGTCTTCCTTCGTTCGACCAACATTGTCCATTTGTACGAACGATGTGGTTCTATATATTCGTGGCATAACTATTCATCAATGTAATGAACAGTTCAGTTACATTTCTCGGGCGAGGCAATGTTCATATATGAGTTTTTCGGCACTTTTATGTGCGCAATTCTGTCCTATTCTTGGTTTTCATGTGACGTCATACACCTATCAAATGTTATCGTCCGCCATGTTGGTGTCGCACGAGCTAATTAGCATATGTCATATAACAGAGAGATGCATGTGTTTTGAAGCGGAGAATATAAATGTCGCGTGATTTTATTGAAAATACAGAAGATAAAAGTCACGCAGAACCA